ATGTGGTGTTTGAGTGAACACCCACAGAAGGTGAGAGGCAGTCATGCCCAAATGGAGGGAAGAACATCCCAGGCAGCGAGAGCATCGCGTGCAAAGGCCCTGAGGCGAGAGTGCGACTTGGTTGAAGAACAGCAAGGCAGCCACTGCAGCTGGAGCTGAGTGAGTGAGGGGCAGAGAGAAGGAAACGGGAACAGAGAGGGACAAGGGGTCCAGTCATGGAAGGCCACAGGGAGCCCCTGCCTACACTCTGGCATGTTCTTTCGTTCTTCTGGGACCTGATAAAAGACAGTCCACTTGTCCAATTAGAAGCAAGCAGAATTCCACTGCTGACTCTCAGACCGAATGGGCCAACATAAAAAGAAGGCAGGCATCCTTCGTAAGACTCTCCCCCGGGGTCAGCCGGCCTTTCTATGCTTCCCACCTCTTCACGACCAGGAGTGCACCCTACATGCGTCTCCGTCTAGGGTGTGTGGTAACCAAACTCCACCTACCTGGGCAATTCACAGACTGAGCACATTCTCTGAAGGATCAAAAGGAACGTCATGAATTCCAAGTCAGGAATGGGGCTGGGTTTGAAGGCAGCAAATGTCCAAGTGACACCCTAGTCTAATAGGTCAGTGGCACACAGCAATGAAGGTCCGTTAGGCGCATCCCCCAAGAGAGCAAGGCTCTGGCCCCGCCTTACAGACCCAGCGGCACAACGTTCTACCGGGGTCCACAGCAGGGAGGGTACTTTCCAGGGCTCCCCTTTCACTTTTTCTAAGACCCCAATGAAGTCACTGAGTCTGAACCTTCAATCTTGCTTTGGTTGCCAATCACCGATCAGCTCAGACTCTCATGGGCAAACATTTTTCCATCTCCAGGTACAGACGGCCAAGTGCTATGAACCACAAACATATTGGACTCTACTTCCTCAATCTGGTTACAGGCTGGCCAGTTCAAAAAAGCTAATGAAAATTCGAGAAGGTTCTGAACTGCATCGCGGACAACTTGGGGACCAAACAGTCTAGACACCATGTTTCTTCTCTCATCTGTGGCATTTTAGGGAGGTTTCATAAAAAATTAATACCCTGCCTAGATTTCCTTACCCAATGATGAGGAATCCTTGATAGAGAGGAACGGAGGCAAAGTAAAACACGGAGGAAAAGACAGCCTGTGCCAACGAGAAAGGAGGATGTTACCGAAAATCATGATAAAATCCCTATGCTTATATAATAAAATAACACCCAACACTTAACATGGCACAAACTTTCCTAGCACCGTTGTGAGTGCTTTAAGGACATCAGCTCATTTCACAATTGCAACCACCTTATGAGGTAGGTACTGTTATCATCAACCCCTCGTCACGGATGACAAGAGTAAGGCAGAGCAAGGTTAAGGGACCTGCCCAAGATCACACAGCTCGTAAGTGACGGGAGCCAGGAGTCATTCCCAGGTGGTTTAGCTCCAGAGACCCTCTGTGAACATAGACTTTAACTGACACAGGCTGGACCCAGGAATACTCTGTGTGATCTCCGTGGATCCCCAGAACCACCCATGAGAGCAAGTCCTCCTATCACCTGCATTTCACAGGAGGGGAATCTGAGCAGGTAAAGGGCACTGCAGGGCTGAAGCCCAGCTCTGTCTCCAGAACCCACAGTCCTGAGAGCTCAGAAGCACCGCCTCTCTGGGCTGCGACCGATAAACAAGTTTGCGGAGGTATGGACACAGAGGTAGAAAGAATCCCCCACTTGAGGATGTACACCAGTTACCCTGGAGGTGGGGCGGCAGAGAAGGCATGTCCCTTCTTACAGGACACGTTTTACTGTTTCTGGAAATTTTTACAAAGAGCCCACAACCTGCTGCCTTTGTTAGACGAGAGCAATAAAGACACTTCCAAACCCTCCCTGAAATGTCTGCTTCCTGACTTGGAAAACAGCAGCTACTGGCAGTGAAAACCAGGCTGGGGAGATAAAATCGGACTTGATGCTCCGTTACACTTCCTTCTCTGGGCATCGACAGGCTAACAGAAGGAAAGTGGCCTCAAAGCTAATTCCTATTAGTATAAAACCAAAAAGAGGCCAGAGACAGCTAGAGGCTTTTCAAGAGCTGTATACAAGAAAGAGCCCAAGCCAGCCTGGTGATTAGAAAGGGTGTGCGACCAGAGGCGTCTCCCCCAATCACCTGCGGCCCAGGTCCTGGGCAGCCCCACCGGCACTTTGGTCATATTTCAGAACTGGAAGGTGAAAGCCACCTTTCAAATGACTTTTCACCTCAGCTGGGCTGTGGCACAGAAAGGATGGTTGTAAAAATGTCAAGAATCTGGTGTTTAGTTTCGTAAATCAACGTCAAGAACCTCCTTCCTCTAAAAGGGCCGGGCTGGCCAGAAATCCTTCATCTTGGAGAGAACACTTAAGGGAAAAGAAAACACTACGGCCACATCCATCGAAGAGACCAACGCCAAGGTGCGGTTCTAACAGGGACATGCCCTTAGCCAGCCACTTTCAGCACAGTGGACAGGGGTGAAGGGCCTTTTTCCATAGCCCCAAAGAACAATTTCCCATCCTGGAATTTTTTTCTAAATTGATGTTCAGAGTAACAACATACAGGCTTTACAGAAGTCAGCTCACCCAGCCCAGCTTATGTGTGCATGCCCAGGGACAAGCTGATTCATCTCCCAGTGATTAAACCATAGCAATATCTATGAGCTACCATGAAAGTACAGATGTGGTCTGATGAACCGTAACAGCTGTTTGGGTGTAGATTGCATTGATAAAAATCACTTAAAGGCTCCTATGCTCACAAATGCAAAAGATATAGAAAACATAAAATCAACCCCAGAAGGCAAGGAAGAAGCCAGAGGAGGGGGAGGCTCATGTACACAGAACAGCATCACTTCAGCTACTTGGAAAGGCAGGATGCCTTTTATATGGTAATTAAGTGCCTTTCCCACAGATTAAAATGTCACCTTACTGGATACATCATCCTGTTTGGTTTTTATGAATAGAGGCAAGGATGCCTTCTGCACTTGACACCTTATAGAACTCTACTTCTCAAAGTAGCCTTGTCCGAGAGGCAAGGCAGGTCTTACCATCTCCATTTCACAGATGGAACACTGAGGCCCAGATGGGTAAAATGACTTGCTAAAGGTCTCAGAGATATTTAGTGGTGTGGTCAGAAAGAGATGTGGGTTTCAAGTCACATCATCCCTATGTTCTCACTACTTAACTGCGATATTTTCACCAAATGTCCATGAAGGTAATCAGTCAATAGTTTTTCAACACCCAAGTGTTTCCTTCCCCACCCTTTGGCCTTCCTCCTAGTGTACACTTAATCGCTACAGCCTGATGACAGATGTTAAAGGAGCTGGTGAGACAGAAGGTGGGGAAAATACTCTAGAATCCTTTTGTGGGGAACAAGATGGGAACAAGATGTTACTCCTGAGAAGACGAACAATCAAGACAACCCAGCTTGACTCTCACCCGCGATGGCTGGAGGCAGAACTGTGACACCGGAGGCCCCTCAGGCTATGCTGCCCCACCTGAGAGCCCATGCAAGCCGAGGCAGTGGCGGCCTCCATGGATCGAGGGCACTCAAGGAGACACCGTGATGAAGGGCTCTGGAGTCCCCCCCGCCGCCGATGTAGACTAAACCCCCAAGGGACACTGCACACATTTCTCAGCCTCATGGAGGCTCAGGCTCCCCATCTGTACAATGGGCACAGGCTACTGTGACGACTGCACGAGACACTGCATTGTGAAAATGAGGCCGGGCATCCAGGGTGTAGGAAGAGCTCCAGAAAATCAAGTTCTTCTTTTGTGGTTATTCTCTGCTGGCCCTCATGTGTGCATTTGGAAAACCTAGGACCAGAGTATGAACCTAGCATTTCACTCTGCATGCTTCCCTCTGGCAAACCAATCATAACAACTCTGGGCATTGACACCACACCTCCCCCCTGCCAAGCCCTGGACAGCCACCCCTGCTGATGCTTGCAGCCACCCCCCGCAAGCAAGGATGGCCTGCCCCATCCACCAGAGGAAGGATCTGAGGCAATCCAAGGTCTATCAGCCAGAATGTGGCCAGGTAGGGATCTAAACTGGTCAGGTGGGAAAATAAATTCCACAAATAAACCAACAGACTGGCCAGGGAGGGTAATAGCTCCAAAGCCCGCTCTAGTTCCAGGCTCTGCCCCTGCCGGCCCCGTGTCCATGTGGGGCGGCGGACCGCCTGCCCACCTGCATGGTGCTGATGCAGAGGCTCCGGTGGATCACGAACTGGCTGAGGGCGGCTGAGCGCTTGTAGCTGTTCCGGCCGTGCACCATGAGCAACCGGCCGAGGTGCTGGAACTGCGTGATGGAGAAGTCTGCAGCCAGGGAAGCCTGTTTGCCTTCCTAAAATCCGCATAAAATTGGGCACCGTCAGGAGCACAGGTCAAGGCAAACACTTTTTTTTTTCATTGAAAAAGCAAGACACTGTGAGAAGATCTTTGGAAAAACTTCAATGAAGAGCTTCTTTGGTTTCAAGCTGTGCTCGGTTGGTGATCTAAGTCCAAATTTGATTTAAAAAGAGGAATTTATTTTTAAAAAAATTCTAAATCACAGATAGTTATAATCTGGAGGTCAAGTGGATCTAGTATTAAGCCTTGGCGGGTAGGCCCACCCTATAACGTGTATTAGAAGCAAAGAATCGTCAGAGATAGGCACTTGACAGCACTCCGTTCCTCTAAGTGAGATGTAAGGCTGGGAGGGCGCTGAGGCTACTAACACCACCAAATGGAACATTCCTGAGCGTACAGCTTCGCACATTTATAGAAGTGCAACCATTAGAATTCTCTGATTTTAAAAGCTGCATGATGGGTGCCACTAGTGGGGTAGACTGGCATTAAAAGAGTCCGTTCCAGTAACATCTCATTCAAAGATCACTGAATTCTGTAACTTTGAATAATTGTCAACTGGATGAGAACCACAAGACCAGAAAGGGTAGAAAGAAGAATACAAAAATGTTTGGATTAAGCCCAACTCATGAAGCTATGGAACAAAGTGCATAAGACAGCATCTCCGGCCCTCACTAAGGACCTCTGTACTCTTGTTTTACACAAAGTTCTAACAAACCTGGTAACCAATCTTCTTGCCTATCGTCATTTAGAGGTCACAAATTAGGACAGAGGAAACTGTAAGAGGCAAGTACATAGGTGACAAGGACAGAAAGAGAAAAACTATTATAACACACCAACTTTTTAAAAATGCAGCTTTTAGCGAGGGGCAGACCGTGCCACATTCTTCCCTAATCTCCAAGACATCCACACATGGCGTGATGACTGATGCTTTTATGGACACCATGACAACGGCCGTGGGAAAGTGCCAAGTACGTTCACTGTGCCCTAACAATATAGCAAAACACTCTTTTTTTTTTTTATTTAAGTCTTGGCATGTGAAAAACCAGCACTTGTTGTCTGTAAGATGGAGTGATGTAGATCTCCGTCCGACTCCCACGTAATAATACCAGGTGATCATGTTTCATGGTTCTTTATGCTTCATAATGCGAATCTAGAATTTTCAGGAGCATCAAAGCTGTGTTTTGAGGGAAAAAGAAGCTCCAGCTGGTGAAGCAGAGCAGCTACGACGACCCGACACCCTCGTACCGACTACTCGGCAGTGAGCAGCCCCCCTCCACGCCCCACACCCACACTCACCTTCCCCTCGACCCCCACGCCGCAGTCAGATTCCTGAATCATGCTGACATCATTGCCTCCATCACCTGTGGGCCGCATGGACCAGAGAGAAAAGCCGGGAAATTGGGGAGAGGCGAGAACCAGGATCCCCACATTTCATTCTTACTTTGAATCATCGTGCACGATTTGCCTTTTACTGAGCGCTTGCTTATTACTAAGAGCCTTTTCTGCCCTGCTCCATTTAATCATTCCCACGCCCCGCAGTATCAGCTTCCTGTCTCACAGACAGAGCAGCTGGGCGTCAGAGGAACCCCAGGTGACTGGCGGGAGCCCCAGCCATCGAGCAGCGGCAGGGGGACCGTGTCCACACCACACCAGTGTTCACAGCCACCGCACCCCTGCCTGGGAGGTGCGGGGCGCCACATCCCATCAGGATCAGTGACGGACTCTACACTTACTGAGCCTATACTGTGCCCTGTGGCCAGTGCTTTTTAAATCTACCCCTTTTCCAGCCTCATCAGCACCATTTGAGTGCTTATGACCCCATTCTACCAATAGGCAGACTGAGGCTCCGCGGGGCATTGGGGGTAAAAGCAGCACAGACGGGAGCCCAGATCCAGCTCCACCATGTGTGGTCCACAGCCCTTTGCAACACTGCTTCCTGCCTCCCAAGCAAAGAAAGAGCAAGCTCAGGAGAAAAGCCCTAGAGCACGCTTATCTCCACTTACTCAAAGGGAAATACTAAAAATAATAATAATAACAGAGCCAAAGTCTGTTGGGAGAAAAGAGCATGACCTACATGAAGTGGCCTGGGGATCTGAGGAACACAGCAACCGAGTCTGACCACCCTTACAGAAAGGGACCCGGTGCAGCAGTGGTGGCCGGGGCGGGGGGGGGGGGGGCAGCTGCCTACCCACTGCGCAGGTGAGCTTCCCGGTGCGTTCCTGGAGCAGGCGCACGATCTGGGCCTTCTGGGTGGGGGTGCAGCGGCAGCAGACCACAGCTGGGCACTGGCAGGCCAGCTCCATGAACTCATACTCATAGTACTTGAGGCAAACCTGGGGGGAGCGGGGGAGGCGGAGGGGGTGGGTCAAGCGAGGTCCCCGCCCCCGCCCCCCCGAAGCAGGAAGGGGCGCACAGTCCTGGGAGGACCCCGCCGGCGCGGTCCCTGCACCCACCTCCAAGGAGTCTCCAGAGATGACCAGGGCACAGTCATGCTTCCTGCGGAAAGCGTTCAGCTCGAGATGGGCCTCACTGCGGTTGGTCACCTGGAAGGGAACGGAGGGGTGGAGAAGGCCTTGCTCTCCCGAGATGGAAGAACAACAAACAGCGGCTTCCTGAAGCCGGGATGAAGACAATGGCCACCCCAGCCAAGGACCCCTGCCCCGCCCCTGCCACCAGACCCAGAGCCAAATTAAACCGTGTTTGTTATGATTCTGTGGGAAGCGGGAGAGCCTGTATACCAACTATCACCTTGCATTGCCCCCAGGACGGCTGTGACCCACGTGATAAAAAAAAAAAAAAAGCTAAACATGACCCCACTTTCATTGTGTGCCAGGCACTGTGCTAGGCACTTTCCATGGATTTTCCCCATTTGCTTCTCACAACAACCCTACAAGATGCATAATGATAACAGAGACACTTTTACACGTAAGGAAACGCAGATGCGGCAGAGCCGTGAGCCTGCCTCAAGTAACACATCTAGGGGGCTGTGGAGCAGGCGTCGGAAGCCAGGCATCTAGCAGGGTGGCCAGCTTTTCTGTAACACACCAGATGTTACACACTGCAAGCTCTGGGGACCCCACAGTGCTCGTCAAAACGACTCGACTCTGCTGTGGTAGCGCCAAAGCAGCCCTGACCCTCCCCCTGCTCGTGTTCGCTCTCTCAGATAAAAATCTTAAAAAAATGAAATAAAACTTGATTTACAAAAGCAGGTGGCACACGGACTGTCGTCTGCAACCCCTAAGTATACCGAATGTAGAGCATACAGAATATATAAGACATACAGTTGATTTTCATCATTTTCAGCAGTTACACTCGATAAAGTCGCTGCGAACACCGACTTAGCCAATAAGGAACCATTCATTGCTCCTAGGGGAAATACGGACGGGGTTCCTGTGAGCCTTTGGCCACAACATTTTTGTCAATCAATATACAACCTTGTTTTATATGTGTTTCTAGTTAAACCCATCTTTTTTGTTTTTTTAACATTTTATTTAGGGAGAGAGAGCATGCAAGCAGGGGGAAGGGCAGAGGGAGAGGGAAAACAATCTTAATTGTTTTTTCAGCAAAGAGCCCGACCCAGGGCTCGATCTCACGACCCTGAGATCATGACCTGAGCCGAAATCAAGAGTCAGATGTTTAACTGATGGAGCCACCCAGGTGCCCCTAAACACATCTTCTGAAATACATATTGTTGACTCATGAACACTGAACTCCTAACCAACAGCATTCTAACTCATGCCTAAAGGAAGCCCATCCAACACACATACGTTCTCCATAGAGCACATCGGAGCCCTCCTGCGCTTCACAACACTAGACAGCACTCCAGCACCGTGCTGGGAGGGAGGATTTTAAACAGTGAAATCACTGACAGCACAAAAATTAAAAAAAAAAAAGTGGCCCTGCACAGACCGTGAAGTACGCTCATGTGCAGTAGAGGGCAGAGAAGGCAGGGAGTCGCCTTGTGTGACCCCAGCTGGGAATGTGCACATCAGGCAACAACGATTTCTCTCTGCTCTGCACATGTCCATGGAGGACTCTGAGAGTGCCCTAAGGACTGATTTCTGGGTTAGGAATACATTTTAGTTAAGTAAGTGCATTTGCAAATCTGGAATCCATGGCTAATAAAGACGAACTGTATCTGTCTCTACACAACACTACTGGGGCCAGTCCCCAAACTGCCAGATCTCCTGTAGGCGGCGTGTACCACGGACCAAAGGCAGGGGGTCGAGGGGACACTCCTGGGACCGGCAGAGAGCCCCTCCATTCTGGGCGTGAGGGCTCTGGTTTCAGGAGCAGGACTGGTGCATCCTGCCCGGAGGGGACCTCCCGCTCCTCACCTCCCAGCTCCGTCAGGCTGATCCCAGCCCTTGGCTTCTAGCCTCGAGCAGCTCCTTGTGGCTGCACTGTTGGGGGTCAAGGGCTTGCCGCAAGGGCAAGACACAATTTCCCATTTGCCCACCCACTATACCTCCTTCTAAAGATTCCTAAAGGCTTCCTTCAGGAGGGCAGACAGGCCACTATCTGTGATCTGGAATTTACTTCTTATCCAAGGACTTGGTCTTCAAGGGTCCAGGGGCATCTGGGCTCATATGTACAATTTTCCACGTATGGGCCTAGCTGCATCCTTCATCCCGATTGTGTCCTGCATCAGCTCCTCAAATGGACCATGACCCCCACCAGGTTAAGAACCCAGGGCCGTACTAGGCCCGCACTACCTCCGGAAGGAAGCCTGCAGCTTCCCCAGGGCCCCTCAGTAATTTCCCCCCGCAAACCAATGCTGTAAGATCCCCCACCCAAGGTGGTTAACACACTCCTCCCTCCCCTCTTTAGGGGTGCACTGGAGGTCCTGAGGTCACGGGGCAAACTGCAGCGTCACCCCCATGAGACCCCAGTGCAGACAATACTTTACCAGCCGGAAAACGTGGATGTCCTGGTTTCTGGTCACCAGATGTGCGTTCTTCGCTGTGCACGTAGCTGTCTCCAGCTTGTCCCCCGTCAGCATCCAGACCTGGAACCACAGCAGAAGGAAGCGCTTCTTGGTCACTGTTCAAGGCCAGCCTGCAGCCTGTGTCTGTTCAGTTTCCAGGAACATCGAGCTAAACTTCATTTATTCCAACTTACCTCAAGGCTCATGGTGTCCCCAGCACACCACAAGAATACCCCATTTCAAAGGCTTCAGGACCCCAAGTGATCACTGCTGGTGGCAGCAAAAGCTGATACAACATTTCTCGAAAACCATTTGGCCACACGCTTCCACAGACATCATGAAGGTCGGCCTCGGACCTCACCATCCCCCTTCTGGAAATCTTTGTTAAAGCAATGAAAAATCTCAAAGAAGGGGATGGTGGTATGGGTGAGGGGTCACTTCCGTGTCCTACAGAAAACACTGGTTTGTCACGTTACATGCAGTCTTTCTATGTGGTTGGTTAAGCCAATGGTAAATGTGCCAAGTTCCTCCCCACCTCCTAACAGATCATTCTGCGTTTTGCTGCCGCGGGCTCAGAGAGGGCAGGTGACTTGCCCCAAAGCCTCACAGCTAGCTCCTGTCCCAAACAGGCCCAGAATCCCAGCCTTCAGAGCCCAAACTGAATGCGCTTCCTGCTCCGCTGGTTTACCCACTGACCCCCCGCTCTCGCGGCCCCAGCAGGGAGGGTCACGCACAAAGCACATGCCGGCAGTGGGGAGGTACAGGAAAGCAATGGCCATGGTCTCCAGAGCATTTGCCGGGCCGGGCACTGATCAAGCGCCATCCACGCTCAGTGCACTTGACCTTCAGGGTAATGTGGAAAGGTAGGAAACAGAGCACTGAGAAGTCAAGCCACTTGCCAAGGGCTGCCAAAGCAGTCAGTGGAGAAACTGGAGCCAAACCCAGGCAGTGAGACAGCCAGGATGCGGGCACTGGGCCCTTCTCAGGGGGGCTGTGGCTCTGGGCTTGACCCTGGTGGGTGTCAGCCTCCTCTCTCAACATCTCATCTGGCCGTTAAAAAAAAAATTCTTTGTAGTGATCCCAGTGTTCAGGGTTTGCTGAAACACTGGGAAAGGAGCTAGGAGGCTCAAGTTCTAGAAAACCATGGAAAGTCATCGAAGCACCATGTGACTGATGCCCCACGTCCGGGATGACAGGGCGGCACTGCAGGTACGCGCCCAGACCTGAGCCCCAGGCCCAGCAGCACACTTCCCACCTTGCTTGGCCTCAGCTGCTGCATCTGGGGAGGGGCTAAAGTAGAAATTTTCCAAGTTCCAACAGCTTCTGGCCTGTGAAGGACCTTGTGCTAGGCCTGCCTACAAACCCCCCTGACCCCTCGCCCCCCCTTCCCCCTCCCGTCTGACCAAGGAAACCAGAAAGAGAAGTCCAGTCCACACTCTGGGAATAAAACAGCCTTTTGGAGAGGACAGCTTTGAGGGGAAGCTCAGGATGGAGCCAGAAGCAGAAACCAGAATTCCAAATCTTAGGGAGACGAGGTCTACGGAAGTTGCCAGGGACAAATTTCAGCGCCACAGTGCAACAGAAGCAAGCCCTTCTGACTTTGGACTGTTTTTCCAAAACTGGGATCTTGCTGGCAATGTCCTTGCAACAAACTAGATACACGACAGGATCTGGTTTGCAACGACACTTGCCCACATGCGTGTGAGTCCCCCCCACGGGCACGACTGTGGCTAGAGCTCCCTTATTACTGCGGCCCCGCTCACGGGAGCCCGTGCCAAGTACCGGCCCAAGGACTCCCCCCGAGAGCTGCTTCGGGGAGGAGGTGGGCGGCAAACACGCCGAGTCCAGGAGCTTCAAGCCAGTGAGGTTGCGCTTGTTTTGCTCAGGGCCTTTAAAACGTAGCGTGCTGCTCGGACGCCCTCTGCTGGCCTCTCTGGATTAAACGCCTGAATTTTTTTCTTTCTTTTTTTTTCTTTTTGGACCCAAACAGTGTAAATAAATAAGGCAGTTTGTTGGTACAGGTGGTCAGTCCACGGGGCGGCCCCTCATTCACCCAGAACAACAGGCAGATGGCTGGCCGGCCGGTGGCTCAACAAGAATATGCCGAACACCCCAAGCCTGCTGGAGGGAGAAGGGGAGGCACGTGGTCCCACGGGGAGCCCGCTGCGGGGGGGGGGGGACGACAGCAGTAAAAGCAAACACACAAGACGTCTTCCAGAAGCAGGGCTGGAGGGACGCAGTGGCTCATCTGAGCCAGAGCTGTGGGTCGCTGTCCGTGCCCCCTCCTCCCCCCACCTTTCCTCTATTCCCACCTCCTTCCCCACCCCCTCCCTAATTTCTTTTTTTTTTTTAAGATTTTATTTATGTATTTGACAGAGAGAGACACAGCGAGAGAGGGAACACAAGCAGGGGGAGTGGGAGAGGGAGAAGCAGGCTTCCCGCCGAGCAGGGAGCCCGATGCGGGGCTCGATCCCAGGACCCTGGGATCATGACCTGAGCCGAAGGCAGACGCTTAACGACTGAGCCCCCCAGGCGCCCCCCACCTTCTCTAATTTCTGCACTCTGCTGCAGGGCCGATGGTGAATCTCAGCAGCTGGGTCCCAGGCAGGTCCGGCCTACCTTAATGCCAGCATTCCTCAGCGTCTCCAGGGTGGGCCTCACGTCCGCCTGCAGCTGGTCCTCCACCCCCGTCAGACACAGCAGCTCCATCTCCATCTCCAGGCTCTCGATCACGGTGGCCACTTTGAGTGAGCGGTCGTGCACACTCAGCTTGGCCTGGACATAGCGGGCCTGCGACACAGCGGGAGACCCAGCCACTGCTTAGGGTGGGAAGGGGCCAGGCTGACGGGCAAGGAGAATGCAACACCAAGTGGGGGACCCCAGGGCATGGTTGGACCTCCAAGGGATGAACGGAGACTTCCAGTGTCCTTCCAAGTTCATTGGCCCAGAACTTGCATAGGCCCTAGTTCTACCCTTTCCTCTTTACTTACCTGCTGTGCAACTTCTAGCAAGCTGCTCAACGTATCTGAGCCTCCACTGTTCTCACCCATGAAGCAGCAATAACAGCCCCAACCTCCCTGGGTTGTTGCAAGGATAGGTACAACTTAAGATCTCAAAAAAACGGCAGGTTCTCCCACACACAGCACACGCTTTGTGACCAAGAACCCCTGATCACTGGGTTTTCTGGAGATGAAGTCCCACCTCCAAAGACCCTTGACCCAACCCTTCAGTTTAGCTACTTTGCAGGGTTAGCAAAGACATGGAAGAAAATCAAAAATCCCTTAATGGGTTGTTTCAAACACACGCCTTTAAACTTGAAAGGACGGTAGAATTTATCAGGGCTAAAATTCTTGCTAAATAAAACTTTACGAAGAACTCAAGCACAAGGAAGAGACAGACTCAGGCATAGCTCCTCTGGGTGGAGCCAGACAAGGACCCCAGAAGCCTGTCCCCCAACCACACTTCTCTCCCTTTCGGTCACACACCCATGCATGCGCTGGGCTTTGTGACAGGCCGGGGGATACAAGGACCCTTCCCTCAAGAAACACACAGTTTATGGGAGAAGAGGACAATAAACCAGACATATTCATGCTGGAACCCTTGGCCGTGAAAGTTAATGATCTATTTCAACTCTTTTTCATACAGAAATGAGGGCTCCAAGGAGGTGATTCATTTCAAATTTTCCAGAGGGTATACCATGTGCCCATGACTAACCTAAGTAGTGGGGTACAAGAGCAAACCAGACTGATGGTCTCTGCTCTGAAAAAGATTTTGTTCCAGGAAGGAGATATGAAGAACACTAGACAGAAACATAGAAATAAGATCATCCTAGATGGGGATTCGCACAGTGAAGAAAGTTAAGCAGGTGATGGATGGCAAGCAGTGAGGTGGGGCTGCCTTAGATGGGGAGTCCAAGAAGACTTCTCAGAGGCAGTAGTATTTGAGCAGAGACCCAAAGGAAGCAAGGGAGCAGGCCACAGAGCTCTGTGCAGGAAGAGGGTTCCAGGCAGTGAGAAGAGCAAGTGCAAAGGCCCTGTGGCAGAAGTGAGCCTGGGGTGCTCAGAAAGGACCTCAGTATGGCTAGAGCAGAATGAGCGAGGAAGAGACGGAGAGGAGATATGACCAGGGAGGTAAGGGTAGGGCTGCAAAAAGTAGCAGAAAGGTCCCAGGACCACTTACTTCAAAGTCTTGATACTGCTCCTCTGCGAGAGACTTCTTCGCCACCACGAGCACCCGCAGACCTTCTCGGGCCATGTTTCCACACTGCAAAGCAGACCTCAGTCAGTGGAGAGCCATACTAAGGGCTCTGCCTCCAAGCCCCAGACTCTCACTGAGGAGGGCTGGATGCTGCAGTGGACACAGGGGCATGGGGAAAGTGGCAAATCAGAATATGGCTTTCCCCTAAAGCAACCCTCCCTGAAGTAAATCTCAAGGGAGGCTGTGACATCACAGCCCACGGGCCAAACATGGCCTATGCATAGGTTTTCTTCGATTGGCACAGTATACATTTCAAAATGTAAGTCAACGCTCTAAGACTTCACAGATAAATCTGGATTTTTGGCTTGTTGGAAAAACTGAACCTCTGACGAAACCACACATGCTTTCCCAAATAACCGCAACCAACGATGGAAGAAAAGCAGCTGCTTCTAGGTCTTCCCAGAAAACAGTTGTCAAGTGAAGACACACAAAGTGTGACCCGGTTATAACACACCCCAGCCTGTTTCATTTGACCTACCTGCCTGGCCCCTGTCGGCATTTGAGTTTGCAACCCTCTAACTGAAAACATAGTATTACTGAATGGAAAATGTGTATTCCCCTACCTGGAGCTGAGAGATAAAATAAAAACGGCCTGATAAACCAGAGTTTCTTCCCTCCTTGCTGTGGCCAATTCTCCACATCACAAACCGGGATAGGCAGCCTGTGACATGGCCCCCAGTGACCCCCACCCTCCTGGTACCTGCCTCCAGCCAAAATCCAGTGAGGAGCTGACTCTTGTGCAGGGCAGCTGAGTGAGCTTGGAAGTGTCTTGCCCCACTTGAGCCTTCAGATGAGACCCCAGCCTCAAGCAAGCCCTCGAGAGACCCTGAGCAGAGGACCCAGCAAAGCTGTGCACAGATCCCTAGCCCACAGAAACCAGGAGAAATAAAAGCGTGTTGTTCTAAGCTGCTAAGTCTGGGGGTGATCTGTTACATAGGCACAGGTAACAAGTACAGGGACCCATCTTACTATGCCATGCAAGGGGCAGCCTCCAGACATGCTTCTGCCGCCCAGTTCTCAGCCCCTGCACCCCACTTACCTCCTCCTCCAGCCAGTCATTGTACTGCACGATGCCAGCCATGACAACATCCGCTCCCTTCATGTAAAACGTAATCTCTCCCGTTGATTCATCCTAGAGAGGGGGCCCAATGGAATGAACACCCAGAGGAACACCCGCTTTCTGCTCCTGTGCCCACTTCCCAGGACAGATGGCACACAAAGCATACTCAGCGGACGCCAATGTTTTTTTCACTTGGCCAAAGATGAAAAGCAAGAAGTGGGGGTGGAGGCCCTCACTTTGGGGCGAAGGCCACAAGAAAATAGAAGAAAACTCAAAGCATTTGGAAACACATTAAATGATGAAAGCCAGATCAAAAGGATTTAAGAACTTTGTTTTTAGTTATTACTATCCCAACAGAAACAGACTCCCACGCTGGAAGATCATCTTAAATTTATAGACGGGACTGCCAGGATCATCAAACTGTGGTCTACCTGGAAAAGTGGGGAAGTAAGGTAATTATCCAGAGCAGGGTTCTCGACCTTGGCATCATTCACACATGGGCTAGAGAGTTCTTTGCTGTGGGGGTTGACCTGTGCACTGCAAGACCTTCTGCAACATCCCTGGGATGTCCCCACCAGCTGCCAGCAGCACCCCGATGGGGACAACAGCCCAAATGTCTCCAGACATAAACAAACATTCCCTGGGGAGCAAACTGCCTTCACAAACTGCTGAGCCCAGTAACTCCAGACCCCTATGTCTACCTGAGCACCTAGCTAGTGATCAGATTACCCAGGTGTTCGTTCACACTGACCAGGTTTTCTGGGAAGTAGGTAACACCACAGCCCAGGCATTGAATGCTTAGACCCGACACCAGCTTTGGGCTGTGTGCACTTGGACATGCTTCTTTCTCTAAACCTCAGTTTTCTCATCTGTAAAACAGGAATACTAACAACTCCTACCACATAGGCTGTTGTGGCTTAAACAACGTCACCTACACAGAGCACAGAGCCAAGGACCGGACACAGAGATGGTGTCCACTCAACATCATCGGTCCTGCTCAGGGGACAGTAACTCTATGCGCCCCTCGAGCACGCCGGATGTGGAGACCAAGGCTTATTAGCCCAGCGGCTCTCCGGGGAGGGGATTTTGTATTTGCCGGTATCTGGAGACCTTTCTGGTTGCCACAACCAGGGGCTGTGGAGGCTACTGGCATCCCACGGGTGGAGGCCGAAAATGCTGCGGAGCATCCCACAGCACACAGGACAGCCACGGCCTAGAATCAGCCCGCGCTGGCGCCCACACCGTTGAGGCTGAGAAAACCTGGCTTTGAGGAACGGTGGTAAAGCCCCTGGCTCTTACTCCCTGACAGTCCTTCCTCAGCAACCCCCATCACGGCGAGCCTGGAGGCAGCAGAGACAGGCCAGGGGACGGAGCATGGCCGTCCCCACTTCCTGCCGGAATTCTGCTGCCGGGGAAAGCCCAGAATACGTGCCTGTAAACTCGTTACTCAACACGAAAGAAATACCCAAAGTCAAATTTGTGGTGTAAGTTTCCTCCTTTAAAACAGCTTTCTAATGCCCTCTAATCACTAACCATCTTTGAGAACTACACGCTTACCCATAAAAGCCCCCGCCGGCCACCGTGAGAGGCACCTGTGTGTTAACAGAGAAAAGCTGCACACTTCATCTTTGACGGATCACACCTATGCCTGCTCGTGACTCCGGCCAAAGACAACTGCCTGAAAGCATCCCAGGGCTTTTCCCTTTCCCCTTCACCCAAAAGGTGCTTAACGACACAGCGGTAGGAAATAGCTTCCCCCTTCCCAGCTTCCTCTCCTGCAGAGGGTGCTCGGGAGAGCTCGGACAGCCCGTCCAGTATAAACACTGTATCAACCATCTCCTCCCGTTACTCATTTCCTCCCACCCAGTTCATCACAAGGTTACTTCGCTCTCCTATTATGGCAAGACTACGCCGTAAATTTACAGAGCTGCTGGATGCACTGCATTGTTTGGGGGCCTCATCTTTTTCCACTGTGGTCTGATTCTGGCCCCCGTTCAAAGGCCTCTTTTATGCAAACAATGACAGGGGTATGATCTACAGCGATGATCCGCCTCCATCATTCTACGTGGGACGGGTGGGGGAGCGGGCAGTGAAACGTCTGTACACAACGAAAACAAAGCAGGCAACGCAGCCTTTCTTCAGAGAGACAAGGACGCTAGCCCCAAAGAAGCCCTCAGAAGACAGAGATTCTCGCCAAGACTTCACTTTGTGAGTGCAAGAAGTACCTGCCAAGTACCGTCCACGGGCTCACACGGATTTGGGGGTGCTGATGAACCAGGAGAGAGCACAATCCTAACTGTCAACAGGCACCAAGCCAAGACATCTTACAGCTGAGTTAACACTTCCTTCCACAGGGTAGTTGGGCAGGTATCTTCAAATAAGAGGCAGGATATCTGGGTACATCAGAACTGAGCTGTTGGCCCCCACACAATGAACATTTGGGGTGGATGGATCATTCTTTGTCAGGAGGTTGTGTCCTGGTCTCCACCCACTAGATGATGTCAGTGGTACCACCCTGAGTTGTGACAACCAAAAATATCTCCCAACATTTTCGAGTGTCCCCTGGAGGCGAAATGGCCCCAGGACGAAAACCACTTCATTAGAGGAGTTAAGGAGATTTCTACAGAGAACCTGCCCACATGCCCTGGAGGCTAATTTCCACCCATCAAAACCACAGATAAAGAGGGAGACAGGGGCGCCTGGGTGGCTCAGCCAGTTAAGCGTCTGTCTTCAGCTCAGGTCATGGCCCCGGGGTCCTGGGATCAAGTCCCACAACAGGCCCCCTGCTCAGCGGCAAGCCGCTTCTCCCTCTCCCGCTCCTCCACTGTGTTCCTGCTCTTGCTGTCCTCTCTGTCAAATAAATAAATAATATCTTAAAAAAAAAAAAAAAGACAGGTCAGCAAACTAGAAAACTTAGCAATAATTCGCATTTCATTAAAGATGGCCTAGCAAAGATGGATGCTCACAAATTGACTTTTAGTTGTGGAGAAATGAAAAACGTTAAGTTTCCAAGAAAGGAATATTTAATTAATGGTATTTTTTTTCAACACAGCACCGTGCACACATTAAAATCATAAAAATCATCTTTTACTGATCTGAGAAAATTTTCACCATATATATTATTCAATGTGGGGAGGGTTTAGAAAGCCTTATGTGACATTTGATCCCAATTTCATAAAAATTTGTGTGGATTTTTACACTCCTATATGCGTAGAAAAAAAAAACTGAGAGGAAATTCTCTGAAAAGGGAAGAAGGGGGTCATCTTTGGGTGGTGAAAATAAAGATGATTAGAGCTTGAGCTCTTTCTTTACATACGTATTTGTTCTGAATGCCTTAACTAAATATTGGGTTCATCTGTTTTTTATAACCTTGGAAGGGTGGGGTGCTGTTTTTAAAATAACCATTTGCCCATCCAACAAGTATCCCCTACTGTTCCTGCTGTGATAAGACACGGGGCCACAGCTCATAAAATATGGCGCGTATCTGGGAACGAACGAGAGCCCCTCACAGCTAAAGGAAGGGTGGGGGATATTGCTCACTTATCCGAGAATGGCTGATATTGGGTATCTGACGATGAGTCAGCCCTCAAATGACTTCAGCAGTGCCCATGGTCCTAAAACTTGAAAACATAAAAGCCGGAACAAAAGTAAATCCATGGGAGATAATGACTCTGATTCACCAGGAAACACCCACCCACCTGATTTGTGCTGTTGCTTCCAGGCCACGGATGTTCTTGACATCAGATGTGTGCTCAAGATAACGGTTTAGAAGCCATGGGTCAGGCCAGGTATGGGCCCGTGGGGAACAGCAGCAGCAGCGTGGGCAAAAGAGCCCCCTTCCCACCCAAAAGTTGCCAAGGATATGCGTCCTGTTGAGTCTGAAAGTGCCTACTGGCATCAGGGACATAAAAATCCCTTAAAATGTGTCATTTTCAAAGCACATTCATGCTGCGTCACTGGGTCAGCACAACAGCAGTTCATGAAGCTGTTTCTTCTACACGGAGGGGAGGCAGCTTCTTCAACGGCTCCCAGTGACCCCTAGGCCCTGGTATTCATGCCCTTATAAGACCTGCTCCCACTGAGTTGGGGCGGGGGGCGGGGGATGGACTCGGTGACTTGCTTCCAGTTTAGCGTTGCAGAAGTGAAGTGAGGGGAGGCCAGTTCTGAGAGCAGGTTACAAAGTCTGTGCCTCCCCTCCTGCTCACATGCTTACTCGTTCACTCAGACAAAGCCGGCTGACAAGGGAGCTGACCTACAGAGAGGCCTGTGGAGCAATGAATGAGGGTGGCCTCCTGCCAAAACAGTGAAGAACTGAAGCCCTCGGTCCAACAAGCGCAAGGAGCCAAGTCCTGCCAACAACCCTGATTTTATCTGGAAGTGGATCCGCCCCCAGTTGAACCCTAGGTGTTGGCAGCCTGCGAGACACCATGGGCCACAGGACCCAGCAAGGCTGCACCCAGAGTCTTGGCCCAGAGACCCCGTGAGATACTACCTTCTATTGTCAGCAGCCACTAAGTGTGGGGTAATCTGCTATGCAGCAACACATGATACACTACCGCAACATTACTACGGATGCTCTAGGAGCTCTTCAACACCCCATTCACCACACCTAAGCTCCCAGGTCCTAGTGGTTAAAGAGCATGGACTTGGGGGCCATATCACCTGGGGTCCAGTCCCGGCTCCACCATTCCCCAGCAAGGTGAACTTGAGGAGACTGCTGAGCCTCTCTACACCTCAGTTTTATCCTCTGTCAAATGCCAGTCATACTGGTACCCACCTTGTTGGCTTACAATAAGAATTAGTGAGTTTATGCAAATCATTTAGAACAGCATCTGGCACGCAATAAGCATCATTAAATGTTACCTATCATTACATTATTGCTGTTCCAGCAGCTACTAGTACCCCTGCTACTGCTAACGGCCCTGATCACAAACTTCTCATACTACTATTACAGAATTATTATAATGGAATCTACAGCTCTTTGCTCTTTATAAGGCATAAAACACTGGGGTAGATCAGGGTAAAGGGGAGCCTCATTTCTTTTTTTTTTTTTTTATTTAAATTCAGTGCCTCATTTCTTTTAAAAACAAAAAAGATGAGTCATATTCCAAAGTTGCCCATGATCTGAGCACAGTTTTTTCCAATCAAGCCAAATGATGTGAAAAAGCTTTACAAATGCCAAGGAACCATCCCAATACCAAAACAGGTCCAGATGGGACAAAGTCATCTGCATTTTTAAAGCTCTCTGGGTAATTCTGATGATCAGCCAGGTTTAAGAGTTACTGAACACAGTGATGTGTGGAACACAGGGTTCCCAGGCTTCCCAGAATGGAAAGTTGTGGTTCTTTGAGTAAAAGAGCAAATGGTAAAACAAGATAGTGACAAAATTTTAAAAATCTGACACTATCAAATAGTGGTGAGGATGTGGAGGAACGGTAGGACTAAGATTAGTACAAGCACTTCGGGGAGAAAAGCGGATGACCTCTGCTAGAGGTAGAGATGTGTATGTCGCCAGTCCAGCCAACCCAACCTCTGGACATACTCCACAGAGAAACAGCATTACGTCTAACGGAGGCCAGGACAAGGACACGCAGGGCAGTGCTGCTTCTAACGGCAAACACAGGGGCAACTATCTAAATGGGTATCAACAGGGAACTCCAGTAAACTGAAGGAAGGGACGTATATCCATACAACGTAACGCTCTAACATGGCTAAAAGTAATGAAGTAGCATTAAGTGTATGAACATAAAGTTCTTTTAAATGTTAAGAACAGGAAGTGAGATAATGATATAATGCTACTTATACAAAGAATAAAAATACACAAAACCGTAATACACATTATTTATCCCCAAACGTATCTGATATTAATATTTGAAAATTCCTTAAAAGTTACGAACTTCCTATAGGAATGGAAAGGAAGCACATCCAGGAGGGGCAGATGGGCCTTCAACTGAATGCACAATGTTTTATTTCTTTAAAAAAATATTTAAACTGCAATACCTACAAAAATAGGGATGAATCTCACAAATATAAATTTGAGCAAATGAACTCAAACATGAAAATCTACTGCATGATTTCTCTTATATAAGGAGAAAATCTCAAAAAGAGATTAATCAGTGGTAGAAATTGGGAGAGTGGTTCTATCCCTGCTGGGAGAGGGATATAGGTGACCAGCAAGGAGCACAAGGGAGTTGCTGGGGTAACGAAGGTTGGGATTCTGATCCTTGCTCTGGATGCTGGTCACATGGGTGTGCCGTGTAAAACACTTGAGCTGCACACTTAGGATGTTTGCACTGTTCGCTGTGGACGTTGTATTTCAACAAGTTTCAAAATATATAAAAACAAAATTTGAAATAAATGGGACAAAATGATGATGCTGAGTGATCACCATATTTTTTTCCAATAATTTTTGTAATTGTACAAATGAAAAACCTTTTAAAATATTGAATTACAACAAGGGGGCCAAGACTACTCAAGGAAGAAACAACAGTCTCTCCAACAAATGGTGCTGGAACAACTGTATATACACATGCAAAAGAATGAAGTTGAATCCCTACCTCACACCATATACAAAAATGAACCCAAGATGCGTCATTGACTTAAAGAGCTAAAACTACAAAACTCCTAAAATATAGGGGTAAATTTTCATGACCTTGGGTTTAATGATAAATTCTTGGATATGAGAGGATATTATGCTAAGCGAAATAAGTCAATCAGAGAAAGACAAGTATCATATAATCTTACTGATATGAGGAATTCGAGAAACAAGACAGAGGACCATAGGGGAAGGGAGGAAAAAATGAAACAAGATGAAACCAGAGAGGCAGACAAACCATAAGAGACTCTTAATCTCAGGAAACAAAGGGGGGGTTGCTGGAGTGGGGGGGGGGGGGGGGGAGGGGGAGGCTGGGTGATGGAAATTGGGGAGGGTATGTGCCATGGTGAGCGCTGTGAATTGTGTAAGACTGATGAACCACAGACCTGTACCTCTGAAACAAATAACACATTATATGTTTAAAAAAAAAATTAAGATAGTAGGAAGGGAAAAATGAAGGGGGGTAAATTGGAGGGGGAGACGAACCATGAGAGACGATGGACTCTGAGAAACAAACTGAGGGTTCTAGAGGGGAGGGGGGCAGGGGGATGGGTTAGCCTGGTGATGGGTATTAAGGAGGGCACGTATTGCATGAAGCACTGGGTGTTATACGCAAACAATGAATCATGGAACACTATAACAAAAACTAATGATGTAATGTATGGTGACTAACATAACATAATAAAATAAAATGAAATAAAAATTTAAAAAATAGATTACTAAAATAAAAAAAATTCTTGGATATGACACCTAAGTCAAGAGCAACAAAAGAAAAAATAAATTGGGCTTCAGCAAAATTAGTGACTTCTGTGATCAAAGGAATTTTATCAAGAAAATGAAAAGACAACCTACAAAATAAGAGAAAATATTTGCATATCAACTCTCTGATAATATCCAGACTACATAAAGAACTCTTACAACTGAACAACAAAAAGACAAACAACCAAATTAAAAGGTGGGCAAAGGAGTTGAATACACATTTCTCCATGGAAGATATAAAATTGGCCAATAGGCACACAAAAAGATAGTCAACGGGGCGCCTGGGTGGCTCAGTCGTTAAGCGGCTGCCTTCAGCTCAGGTCATGATCCCAGGGTGCTGGGATCAAGCCCCACATCGGGCTCCCTGCTCAGCGGAGAGCCTGTTTCTCCCTCTCCCGCTCCCCCTGCTTGTATTCCCTCTCTTGCTGTGTCTCTCTGTGTCAAATAAAATCTTAAAAAAAAAAAAAAAAGAGTCAACATCATCAGTCATTAAGTTAATACAAATCGCAACCACAATGAAATATCACTTCTCAATTGCAAAAATGGCTATAACCAAAAAAGTGAAAAAGGAAAATAAAAAGTGTTGGTGAGGATGTGGAGAAATTGGAAGCTTCCTACGTTGCCAGTGGGAATGTAAAATGGTGCAGCATTACAGAAAACCATTTGGAGGTTCCTCATAAAGATAAAAGGATTACCCAGCAAGTGTGTAATGGACCCAGGATGACCCAGCAATTCCATTCCTAGGTCTATAGCCAAAAGAATTAAAAACAGGTATTCAAATCCCTGTACGTGAGTGCTCATAGCAGCACTATTCACAATAGCCAAAAGGTGGAAACAACCCAAATGTCTATGAACAGATGAATGGATAAGCAATCGCTTAGCCATATAAAGGAATGGAGTTCTGGTTCATGCTACAACCTGGATGAACCCTGATAACATTATGCTAAATGAAAGACGTCAGACACAAAAGGTCATGTGTCATAGGATTCCAGTTATATGAACTATCCAGAATCAGTAAATTTCTAGAGACAGAAGCAGATTGGTGATTCCTGGGACTAGAATGAAGGGGGGAATGGGGAGTCGCTATTTAATGGGTATTAGGGTTCCTTTTGGGGTGACGAAAATGTTTTGCAACTTGACAAGTGGTAGTTGCAGGGGGCCTGGGTAGCTCAGTCAGTTAAGTGTCTGACTCTTGATTTCGGCTCAGAGTCATGAGATCAAGGCCCGCACTGGGCTCCGCACTGGGTGAGGAGCCTGCTTAAGATTCTCTCTCTCCCTCTCCTTTCACCCCACCCCCCAGGGCATCTGCATGGTCTCTCCTAAAAAAAAAAAAAAAAAAAGAAGAAGCGATGGGTGCACAACACTGTGAATATACTAAATGCCACTGAATTACACACTTTAAAATGGTTTGCTTATGTGAATTTCACCTCAGCAGATAGATGTTTAAACAAAAGTGTACACAATGAGAAAGGTATTGTTATCAAGAAATGCCCAGTCCTTGGGGCACGTGGGTGGCTCAGTCGTTAAGCGTCTGCCTTCGGCTCAGGTCATGTTCCCGGGGTCCTGGGATCGAGCCCTGCATCGGGCTCCCTGCTCCGCGGGAAGCCTGCTTCTCCCTCTCCCACTCCCTCTGCTTGTGTTCCCTCTCTCTCCGCCAAATAAATAAATAAAATCTTTAAAAAAAAAAAAAGAAAGAAAGAAAGAAAGAAATGCCCAGTTCACGTACTTTAGGCCTTTCCCTCTAGAACTAGGTTAACCAGAAGCTGATCAGCTATCTGAGGTCTTGGCTAATTGATGGACTGATAATATTCTTTCCGTTCAGGCAATTCTGTTCTCTTGTTAGTTTGGACAATCGACATCAGAAGAAAGAGGGTAATAAACAGTTAAGAAAGAATGTTGAGGTTACGGGGACCCACGCAGGAGACTTAAGTTTTTAATCATGTTAAGTCCTAGAGAAGGTAACTCACCCTCACGATGATGCCCATGCGCTTGCTTTCATAGGTGAAAGGGAATATCTGTAAGATGGTGAAGTTCAGGATCTGGTCGCCAGGGGTCCTCAGCTGCATGGAAGACTGGTCTCGGCCCACCAGGGTTAAGCCCACGCTTTCGGTCCACTGTACCAGGGCCACCTAAACGTGACACAGGGTCGAAGGTCAGATACACCGCCGAGGGTCCCGGTTCAGAGGTCAAGCAAACGAACACCAAGGGGGAAGGGGCTGCGGCGACCGGCAAAGCGCAAGCTGCCCCTGTGTCCCTGGGGAAGGCTGGGTCGGCCGGTGACAGCATCGGTTCCTCGGGGCCTGCAGGCGCTGCCACCCGCCCAGCCGCCCTCCACGCGGCACAACTCAGCTTCTCTCCCAGGTCCCCAGGCAGGCTGCATGCCTGAGCCGGGCAGAGAGCGCGCGCAGGGTCGAAAGGGACCCCTTCTGGAGGATTCGCACCGAGCCCACAGCAGCACGAGCAGAGGAGGACGCGGTGCAGGGCGGCGCTCGGCCTCCACGCTCTCCTCTAAGCCTCGCGAACACCCAGCCAGGCAGGTGTCCACAGCGGGTCTCAACCAGGCAGCTCTGCCCCCTAGGGGACATGCAGCCATGAGTGGGGACAGCTCCGGCTGTCAAAACCGGAGAACGGGCGTGCTCCTCGCACCTCCTGGCCTCCGCCCGTGAGGTGCTGCTAAACCTCCCAGAACGCAGGGGACAGCACCCCCCGCCCCCAGACGGCAGGACCGCCGAGGGTGAGATCACTGGTCCACGCAGAGGAGGACGCAGGTGCGGGGGGAGGTTACTAACTCACCGCGCCACGTGATGCTGCTGGGCAGTGGCGCGGCCAGGCCAGGCGGCCACCCGGGTTTACCCGGCGCCCAAGCCCACCCACGGCGCACTGCCCTTCCTGGAGGCGCGGCTTCTGTCGCCGCCTGGAACCTTCTGTCGGGGGGGGGGGGGGGGCAACAAGGAGGGGGGGGGGGAGGCCGGCGGCGGAGGGGGGGGGGGGGGGGGGGGGGGGGGGGGGGAGCGCGTGCCAAGGGGAGCCGCGGCACACCCACAGCGGGCGGCGACCCCCGGTCGCGCTGAAGGACGCTGCCCCAAGGCAATGCGGCCCAGGAGCGCCAGGGCGTCCAGCCTCTCAAGAAAAACGAGATCTGGGCCTGTCCCTGAGGTCTCCTTTTAGATGTAAACAATGGGCGTGTTTTCAAAAGCCTGTGAAGAAAATAAACCCCCGTCCACAGAAGAATCTGGCTGAGTGTCCGCGAAGTACGAGCGGAAAAGGAAAGCAAAGGTGGGGTCAGAGAGGGGAGCCGGGGCGGGGTGGGACAGCTGCGAGTCCTCACCCCCGCCACTGCCCAGGAAGGAGACCCAAGTAAGTGTGAAGAGCCCACAGCACCCCCCAAGGGACACGGCCTACACGACAGGGCCAGCCCGCTCGCGCATCAGCCCGCTGAGCTAAGGACCAACTCCGCCTGACGCGAGAGGCAAGCGTGGCGGGCTGCTCTCGGCTGCTCTCGGCTACTGTCGGCTGCTCTCGGCTACTGTCGGCTGCTCTCGGCTGCTCTCGGCTACCGTCGGCTGCTCTCGGCTACCGTCGGCTGCTCTCGGCTACCGTCGGCTG